CATGGGCGTGGCCTGATGACGTCATCACTAGTGTTGCTGGTCATGAAAAAGTTAAAACACATGAAATAACTCTGAAGTGACTAAAAATGACGAGGTTATATGAGAATAAATTTTCCCTAGCAACGGCTCGAAAAGATCGGTTAATGGGCCCTTAAACTAAGCTATTCGGATTCTTTCTTTTGATACTGTTTAATGTGGGTGCACAGACGATGAGTTATGCTTTCTACATATAGCTTATAATACTCACCATGTCTAATTTATTTTCTTGAACTCTCTGGGGAGAAGTTTACTTTAAACAAAGACTTCTTCAGAGTTGTTTGGGTCTTTCATTACGGATTAAAATATGTTAGAAATAAACATCTGCTGTGGATTGAAGTATCAAAATCTTGAAAATGTTTTGTAGATTTGAGAAGAGGATCTACATTCCCTTACCGGAAGCATCAGCAAGAGTGAAGATGTTTGAACTGCACATGGGAAACATCAAGCATTGTATACAGTCAACACAGTACAGAGAACTAGCAGAGAAAACTGACGGGTTAGTCTAGTTCCAAGTTGATGGATTTCTGTGTGTGTTGATCAATTGTCATTGGCAGGCACTTCTTGCCTCGTCTAATGGTCAGTTATTAATTGTGCCCATGTCTTGTTTTGGCATCAGGTATTCTGGCGCAGATATCAGTATAGTAGTACGTGACGCCATGATGCAGCCGGTCAGAAAAGTTCAACAAGCAACGCATTTTAAAATGGTTTGTATAATCATATCTTATACAGTACATGCATATCCTAATTCTGATCAACTGCCCGTCTGCTGTTTGTTTTGCTTGATGGCAAAATAATATAGGTGCACAGCTGTAGCCGCGAAAGGAATGGGGAGGAGAGGTCCCTTCTTTCTCTTACTCCCTGCAAACTGATGAGAGTGTTTGTTGCTGTTGTTGTTGTTGTTTTTAACCTAACATCAATTCAGTCCTGGAGACATCATTGGAAATCTATTGAAACTGTCCGGGAGAAGTTCGTTAAGATTCTTATTATCAAATTTTGTTATCCAAAGTCTTCGGAAATCCCACACATATTTGGCGAGACTTTGAGGTCTTCGCGAAGCTGCCAAGTTTTTTGATTTCTTCAGGTGTTTGGTTTGGTGGCGTGATTATACCGATGTGCCTTTCAAACTGCAGACGTTTTTTTGCACCACCAGTGTCCAACTCCAAAGCAGTGTCCTTTCTCTGGTAGTGTGATTTGTGAAATAGATTCTTAATCACGTGACCTAATTCTTCAAAAAATGAGTCCTTGGAAGCAAGCTGAAAAACGCCAGGAATTCCGCAAAATTTGGATTTTAAGTTTTTTTGTTAAGTAATACAGCCTATTGCTCACTAAGTTTCTTTTCGTTCTGTGTCTGATGTGCACTGACTATAAGATGTTGTTTCGCGGGTGAAATAAAACCACTTAGGGACCGTTCATTTTTTATGAGGGAGGGGGGGCTGGTGGGATTTGGGAAGCACCATTTAAAAATCGCATGACCCCCCCTCAGCTTACCAATTT